AGAGAAGAAGAAACAAACTAAATGCTATACGAGCAGAACATCCCGATCAGTCACGTGATCCATGAGACCACAGAAGAAGAAGAGGACGTAGTCATCGTGATGTCAATCGTCGGTTTGTGGACGAGACAATGAAGAAGAAGAAGAAGAAGAAGAAGAAGAAGAAGGAGAAGAAGACAATGAAGAAGAAGAGTAGGAAGGAGGAGGAAAAGAAAGAGGAGAAAAGGAAGAAGAAAAAGCAGGTGTGTCCTCTCCTACCTGTGTGGGCGTGGCTAAAATGGGCGTGGCTCCATCCTGCCCTTGGTCCCTCCATTTGTATTTCTGGTAACCGAGGTAACCACCACCTGACACCAACAGGAGGGGGAGGGGCCAGCGGCTGGGCAGGAAAGTACGACCTGAAGAGAGATCCCATTGGTCAACGACACCTGCAGGCTCTTCAGACTGTACCGTTAATCTCCAGCACTACATTTTACAGATTACATGTGAACACATCATGAACCTCATTAGTATATAACTGTGTTCATATGATCATGAAATATATACAAGATAGACATATCGTTTTGTTTTTTATGAATGCTGCATCGCTCTAAATGTTGCTGATGATGCAAGGAATTGTGGGACATCATCTCCTTTCCTTTGGTAAAGGATGCTCCAATGTATCCTTTGCTAAAGGAGATATTCAAAAAGGAAGCATTGAAGCACCTTTCCTCAGCATTGTGAGGACTCATCCAGCTCTCCCCGAGGCTGGCACTTAGATACTTCCGGGTCATTTCACTCGGTTAGGAAGGAAGCAAACAGGAAGTGAACCGGAAGTGAGGAGGTGCAGACAGACTCACCTGTGCTCACTGCTCTTTGCTGGCTGCAGCTCCAAGGAGACACTCTACAAATAAACAACATAAAGCTTCACAGTTAGAATAACGTGTAATCATTTCAAAGAATCTTGCTAATCTCAGTCGTCACACGTTTAGATAGACAGATAGAAAGATAGATATGTACTTTATTCATCCCCAGGGGGAAATTTGTATTTGTATTTAGTTAAATTCATCTGTTCACATGACGTAAACAAGGTAAATGAGACACATCCGGTTACCTGAGCCGAAACCTTCATCACTCCGGTTTACACGCCTGTCACCTGTCGGACGTCACATTTAACTCACTGTTTGAGCTTTTAGACTCGATCAAACGTTAATTTACTGTAAACTGTGAACAGTCTAGTGGAGCCACAGACAGGTCACGGTTTAATAGTCACACTACGTCATTACGTTTGATTCACGCGGCCCTAAAAGTGACCTCTTCCCTGTCTGACGTCAGGCTGTTAGTTTTAATAGGAACATAAATTAAGTTAATATTAATAATACCTCCCAGTCAGTCCGCTGCACACCCTCCGCAAGGCCGCCGCCATGTTGTTTGCGTAAGTGACGTACGGACGTCTAAACTGTGAGTGGGTATTTGTTACCACGAGTATAGTCTGCCAGGTGAACCCTGCTTCACTGTGAACGGACACTTTAGAAGTTTTCCCTCAATGCGTTCTGCCCAAAATCTCTTTAGCTTCAAGCAACAAGGACCAGATCAGTTTTGGGTTAAAATGAACTATTTCTAGCGGGAAACACTGAAGGAAACTTCTCCCACGTGACGTGAACCGTCATCTGAGGCAGCTGCTGCCTGCGAGGTGAGACTGAGGGTAACAAATACACTAAATAATTAAATAATTAAAAGAAACAATTTTCATGACAATTAAATGAGATATAATGTTAATATTTTCTTCCGTAAAAAAGGTGACCATGACAATGAATTAACTCTACTTATTAACATTAATACGTTAAGTCATCTTCTATAGAAAGCCCATAATACTCCAACTGAAACAGGTTTTGTGTTTTTTATATTTACACAAAGTGTTAATACTTAAAAGTGTTCCTTGTGTTATTTGTAGCCAACAAGTATCACTTTATAACATATTATGTGATGTCTGCAGCCTGGAACAGCCTCATCAAGACAATAATAATAATAATAATAATAATAATAATAATAAAATGTATTTATAGAGCGCTTTTCACAGACAAAAAATCACAAAGTGCTTTAACAGAGCAGAAATTTAAAAGCATTAAAAAACACAATGTGACCATAGGGTCAATAAATTACATACACAGAGAAAAAAATAAATAAAAATAAAAATAAATAAAAAATTAAAACATTTTAAGAGCAGGTCTGGGACATGGGTTGTTACTCAAACACCAGCCTAAAAAGGTGGGTTTTGAGCTGTTTTTTGAAAGTATTCACAGAATCTGCGAGGCGTAGAGTCGCAGGCAGAGCATTCCACAGCCTCGGCGCCACTGCCTCAAAGGCTCGGTCACCACGGGTCTTAAATCCTGTGCGTGGAACTGACAGAAGACCTAGAGCGTTTGACCTGAGAGTGCGGGTGGGTGAATACGGGTGAAGTAGATCAGCTACATAAGTAGGAGCCTGACCGTGAAGTGCTCTGTAAGTGATGGTGAGAGTTTTGAAGTGTATCCTAAATGCTACAGGGAGCCAGTGGAGAGATCGGAGTACGGGGGTGATGTGAGACCGTCGATTTGTCCTGGTGAGTAATCTGGCGGCAGCGTTTTGGATTCCCTGCAGACGGTTAAGAGCAGATACACTGAGTGATGTGAAAATTGAGTTACAGTAGTCGATGCGAGAGGAGATAAATGTGTGTATGATCATCACAATCACAAAACCAGCCTCCTATCACCTGAAGAATACATCAAGGATTAGAGGACTGATGTCTCAACAGGTAAAACGTGTCCATGCATTCATCTTCAGCAGACTGGACTACTGTAACGGTGTGTTTACAGGTCTCTGTAACAAGTCAGTCAGAATGCTGCAGCTCGAGTCCTCACTAAGACCAGGAGGGTGGATCACATCACTCCAGTTCTGAGGTCTTTGCACTGGCGTCCTGTCCAACAACAACAACTTTTAAACTCGAGCCCTATTTGTAGGCCTCTGCTCGAAAATGGCATACCCATACTAAGGAGACCACAGTTCTGTAACTACAAGGTCTATTTTAATAATTTTTGATGCTATAATTCAGATAACACTTGTGAGATTGTTCAGATGGGTAAATATTGTGTATATGTTGCTGGTTAATATAGTGCATGAAGATATTACACAGCTCAAATTGAAAATATTCAGGTTCACCTGAAAAAAAGCACTTTTATTGATATTATGTTTTTGAAATAATGCAGCTGGCTGCCTCAAAACTCTCCCAAATCATAGCACAACCGATCAGTAGTTGTAGAACAACGTTTGGCTGGGATAAAGTGAAGAATAAGAGGCTTTAGAGAGGTCACGCGAGGTCGTCATTCTCGAACCAGCTGTTGCAGCTCTTACATTGTACTTTTATATACTGTATAACTATATATTTCACTTTTTTATCACTCATATTATTCAATACATCCAAATACAGCCGTTAGAAATCATTTTTAGAGCCAGGGTCCTCTCAGAGCATGTTTCTGGCTGTCATCCATGTCTAAATTCCAGTCCCTGTGTGTGTATGTGGCTGTAGCTCAGCCTATCATCGGCCGATTTCAGTCAATGAGCCCGCCTTCGAGTCAGAGTCAGAGTCTCAGGAAGGCAGGTTTCGAAGCGGGTGTTGATTGACAGAAGTTTCAGCAAGTAAAGTTGCAAGAAGTGCCGCGTATCCCAGAGCGTAAAATTCCATTCGCCAAAAGTCTGACCACCCACCCATGGTGGATTAACCCCCCCTTCTACAGGAAACAGATCGGAAGCAGACAGGATGCAGTTGCCAACAATGATTGTAGCTTTGATTGTAGCTGTGAGTGACCGTTGGTCACTCACAGCTTTCTACTGGTTCCACGGAGAGAAAAACCGAAGGTATTTATGCGTTCTGTGTCGAATGCTAATGCTAAGCGATGTACGGATCGCCGGATTAGCCGTTAGCTTCGTGTTGCAATATCGATGTGCAGTAAATATAACGGCGATTTTTGCCCAGTATTTCATGCTTTTATGCCACATTTTCTAGATGCTTACATTAGTAGTGTATAGTTGTGTTTGGAGTGTGTAAAAAGTGACTTATATGATAGTGTTGCCCATACGTTGCTGTTTAATCCGGTAAATAAAATGTACACATGTACAATTCTGGCTATCAAAATGAGCAATTTTTGGACGATATTTATGAGACCCCCTAAGCCCGAGAGCCCCCACATCTGGGGGCGTCGTGTGCAAGAGGTTCCTGCTGCTGGTTTATAAAGCACTGAATGGTTTAGGGCCAAAACACATCTCTGATCTGCTGCTACCTTATGAACCATCCTGACCCCTTAGGTCGTCTGGGACCGGTCTACTTCCTGTTCCCAGAGTCAGAACTAAACATGGAGAAGCAGCGTTCAGTTGTTCTGCTCCACATATCTGGAACAAAGTCCCAGAAAGCTGCAGGTCTGCTGAGACCCTCAGCTCCTTTAAATCAAGACTGAAGACTTTTCTGTTTGCTGCCTTTAATTGAACCAGATTCAAGGATATTAATACATTTCTGCATTTTACTACTGTATTTTATGTATGAATGTTTTTATTTTGCTTTGTGTTGTGATGCTTTTAATGGTTTTATGTGAAGCACTTTGAATTACCTTGTTGTTGAAATGTGCTATACGAATAAACTTACCTTAGAATCAACACCAGACACAGGATGTGAGAACATTTTAAAGGTTTTGGCTTCAAAATAAAAACTTTTTTATTGATTTTATCATTTTGGGCCATTTTCTTCACGAAAACGTCCAAAAGCTTAAAGACAAAACTTGCTATATTTTATTATATATATTATAATATTCTGTAAAGCAAAAATGCAGATTCAGATAACCTTTAAATAAATGTTCCATTCATTATATTTGTTGACAAATAAAAACGTTTAGACGAAGTTTATTATTTCACTAGTAATCACTAATAATCACTAATAAACACTAGTAATCACTAGTAATCAATGACTCTGATCACTAATAAAGGGACAAACTTCAGTGAGCAGAAACAAACTTTATTTGTTCCAAAAATAGACACGTTTTCAGCAGAAATATATATATTACACTTTAAAAACTCCAAATACTTCACCAGCAGTAGTACAGAGTACTCAGACAGTATTTCAGAGTACTACAGAGAACAGCAGTCAAGAAAAACACAAAAAATTAAAAATAAAGCCAGCTGTGCCCCGATGTGGGCGTGGCCTCGTGTGGGCGTGGTCTCCTGACATGTCATCGTTTAAAAAACTAGTAAAAATATTAAATATTTCAGAAAATTCACATTTAAACAGTCTACACTGTGAAGTCAAATAAAACAAAATAAATCAAGTACACTGCAAAAAGTAAAAGTAAAAACCCGCTACACCGGTCTGGTGCGCTAGCAGCTCTGTTTATTTGGCCTTTTGGTCAGCTGACAGGAAGTGATGTCACAGCTCACACGTCCAAGCCCTGACGGGACAGGAAGTCTTCGAGTGCGCTCAGTCGCTCCACCAGCATCACGTCCAGGTCCAAGTCGTCGTCATCGGGGCCGTTGCCGTGGCAATGTCGCCGTGCCGCCACCCGTTTCCTGGGTACCATAGCAACAGGAAGTCCCGCCCCTAAAATAGACAGATAAAATATCTCTGATCATGTTTCATTCTAAACAACCAATCAGAGGAGAGCTAGTAACGTTAGCAGCACCGCTAACGGCTAACCAACGGAGGTTCACTTCAGTTACATGATGATGCCTTCAGGCTCTGCTCAGTGAACACCAGTACTGGCTGAAGGTACATTATAACGTTATCATGATGTGTTCACATGTCATCTGTAAAATGTAGTTTTGGTGATAAACTTGAATAAATCCAGTAGTTTGAAGGAGATGTTTTCACATGAATATAAAATAGATATTAGAGATGAATTATGAGCTGTTTAACTTCCGTCTAGGGCTTTTATTGTGAAAGGTAAGAAAAGGAAGGAGTGGCTCTGGGTTTTTTTTCCCAGCATACCTTGCGGCCTCTTCCTCTTCCTGGGTTGCGTGAAGTCAGGGAAGAGGAGGAGCCTGCGCCTCCTCTGCTGGCCAATCAGGAGCAGTGCACCGTTTTTTTCCCGCGGCTCCTCGAAGATCGTCTCCAGACTCCTGCAGTGTGACAGAAAAGCATGCTGGGAGATGTAGTTTGTACAGCAGTTCGACATCATTCTGTCTGTGTTCTTGATGTGTGGTTTACTGTGTTTTGTCAGCTTTCACACTGGAATTAAAAGTATTTATAAAATATGGGATTTGTAGTTTTTACCTGTTTGTGGTGGGGGATTTGTAGTTCTTGTTCGTGTAAATCTCCTCCAGGCTGAACTCTTTCTTCTTTGACCTAAAAGTAAAATCTAGTTTAATATATTGATCTTATCCTCAGATTTTGTCTTTTTTATTT